CATAAGCATTCTAAAGGACCTGTAGAAGAAGAAAATGGTACTAAACTCCTTTTAAAATTATTCAGTCAGTCTAAACTAGTGCTGCATGCAATAAATTAAATTGCCCTGAAAATCCTAGATGGGAAGAAAAGGGCCATGGCCCCACATCTATCAGCATTACAACGCAAATGCAGCTGTTATACTAGGAATAACTTATTTCTGGCGCATTTCTGCTTCCTTTCAAACTTGCTTCTGCCATGTTGAATTCCCAGTCTAGCACAGACGTCATTTTGTCATCTATGTCCCACTTGAAGTCTTTCATCCTTTCTGTTTCTCACAGTCCCCTTCACATTTCCCACAAACCTGTAATTTCTGTAAATCCCACCATCTCCTTCCTTCCTGCAGAGGTTGCCCCATAACCTTTCCCCAGATTTTTATACACCTAAACAAATTAATATTTTGCATTAACATCTTTGGCTTACATACATATCTTACTCTCTGTCCAGTGTCGGTCCTCTTCTTAATTTGCCTATTGTCTTCAGATCTTTTTTTGAACACTTCTTATCTGCTAGCTCTCCAGCTTTCATCACTTTCTTATTTCTTACTTCACTCAGACCAGCATCAAATGAGTTTCTCTCTCATGTATCCCTCCTTAACTTCTTTGCTTCCCACGTACTCTGAGTTTCTACATTGTTCAAAGGACATTACGGAAACAGAGCAGTAGAAATGAGAGCTGTGAAAAAACGCAGGAGGACTTAATGAGACTGAGAGACTGAGCACTAGGATGGCAGATGAAATTCAAGGCTAATAAATGTAAAGCATTACACATAAGAAAACTCAACTTATAAAATAATGATCTCACAGCTGACCATTGCCATCCAGCAACAAGGTTTTGTGGATATAATAAATAGTTCCACGAAAAATATCACCCTGGTGCTCAGCAATAGCTGAAAAAGCACGGAAACTGTTAGGAGTTAATAGGGAAGGGACAGAGAACAGAAAAAAAGAAGGTCATTATGCCACAGGATAAATCCCTGCCACGCCTGCACCCTGAATACCATGAGGATTTGGTCCCTCATCTCAAACATGACAAAGTAGAACTGGAAAGGGTTCAGAGAAGAACAGCCAGGATAATCAGAGATATGGAGCAGCTCCCATATGAGAAATCAGTAACTTGAGCTGAAAAACAGCCCTAAGGATGGGTCATAACGATAGAGGGGGGCAAAATCTTGTGAGGCGTGTAGGTACTAACTAGAGATTATCTTGGCATTAAAGGAGGCTATTGGGCAGTGGGTTCAGAACAGACAAAACAGAGATGGCTTAGCATTTAGTGGAGAGTAAGTTGTGGGACTTCTTGCCACAAGAGATCACAGAGGCTAGCGGGTACAAGGCTATAATGGCTATAACTCAAAAATGACTAGGCACCTCCACAGAAGGAAAATCTATCACAGGCTATTAAGTACAAAAATACCACATCTGGCTCAGGAAGTCCTTGAGTTGCAAATGATTAGAAGCTGGAAGATCATGCTGGGGAAATATCACTTATATCACTACTTTTATATTCTTCCCTAGGTATTCACTGTTCTCTGTCAGAGACAGGATATTGAGCCAGATGGACCTTTGGTCTGACCCCATACAGCCTTTCTCATGTTGCTGTGTTTATGTTCTTAACTGACCGTATGGATGCTCCTTGCCCTTTGACCTCCTAATGCCAAAAAGCCTCTCCTGCCTACAGCAGCAAACTGAGGCAGAGCGAAAATATCAGTCCAAGTGCATCTTTGCTGAAAAATCCTTCCAAGATAAATTTGGGTACTTACCTACACTGTTAATCTAGTGTCAGACCAGTCTCATTGCTGAAAACCCATTCACTCTGCAGCTCTGGTCACCTGAAACAATCTGTGCAGACCTCTCCCCTTTCACCGATTCCCTATCTCCTTCTAAATTCTCATCTTAAAACCTGACTTTCTAGCCTGCTTTCAACCTCTCCATTTCTGTCTCTCCTGGTTATTGGTCTTATGACTGAATGCTTTAATATTTTCACCATGCAAGGTCTTTATGTCACTGTTTCATGTAATTTATACCTGTGAGCTGGAGCCTTTCCCATCTCGCTTTCAAGCACAGGCTGTACGCTGAATGGAGTCCAAAATGATCCCCACCCCCTTATTGCTTTGGGGGTTTGGCTTTATTAACAATGATATAAGCAATAAGAAAATAAAGTTCAGCTATTTCTAAGGCTTTTCCCTCATGACTGCTCAGCCAGCATCTTAGATGGCCTCTCCCCAGCAAACCATTTTTATCTCCCTTTTACACAAGTGAACTAATAAGCTACCTACCTCAGTGAGTCAGCAGAACCCACTTAACCCTTTCCCTGAAGGGTCAAAACGTGCTATCAGGATGGTTTGGCTCAGGCTTGTTATAGAACCATATTCTGCCCCTTGGTCTTGAATAATTTATTTGTGCGGCAGACCTAGATTACTGTTTAAATCAAAATGCTACCCAAACAAAGGCTGTGCTGTACAGTGCAAAATGAAACAATTACTACATCATATAATGCTCATCTTTTACAGTGTAAGATGCCCCCTACAGTACTGCAGAGGACAGACATTTCTGTTGAGAACAGCAGCCAGCCATAAGAAGCAGGAGAGAGATTTTTCAGAGAGAACAGCCTTTGATAAAAAAGTAAATTCAGCGCCAGAAGGTATTGCACACTTCCACTTTGATCCATCAAAACTTAAGACCTTTTCTAGACTGAAATTAAAGCAAGCTCCAAATATGCATATGCAGAGTTGTTTTCCACAGAGCAACTTTACCAGGGATGAAGAAAAAAGGAAAACGCCTATCCTAACAAACATTGCAGAAATTCAATATAAAATCTCAGAATGTGGATCAAAGCCTGGAATTCCACTCCTTTAAAAAAATACAACTCACAGAAATATGCAGAAAAAAGGGACGCATTGTGTTATGTATTATATTGTAGTAGAAGTGCACGATAAGCTTTGTAGCATCTCTGGATGCCTGAAACATCAACAACACCACGTTCCTTATGTACTTCAAAAATGTAATCTGAGTTTACTCAGAAAAAAAAAAAACAAACCAACCCACAAATAAAATATGCTCTTTCTCTTATTTTTCTACCCCTGTTATTGTTCAATCACCTGATTTTGAGACTCCATTCACCTGACAATATGTAGCTATCATTTGCCCTAGTCCTGGCTGTCAGAGTGAGTAATCTTTATCTTCAGAGAAGCAGGGATAATGTCTAATCAGTGAGTTACAGTTGAGAGAAATGATTCTAAGTTTAGTAAAATTGGCAGCTGCGTTTTGTTATCAGTAACCATTGTTTAGATAGCAATGCTGGTGTGTGTGGTGTCACACAGACAAGGACAAAGACCAGTCCCTTGTCCTGTGGAGCTTGCTGTCTATATCACACAATTAAAATAGGGAGAGGTACTAGCATAATAGTAATAGTGAGCTCTAAGCATTACAGTGGGAGAGAGAAGAGATTACAAGAAAAAGAAAGACAAAACTTCCTGTGAAGGAGCAATACTGCATCATCCCTCCATTGTTGTTTTACAGTCAGCTCTGCCAGAGGGTTTTGTTGTTTCAAAATACAGTCTGTACAGAAGAGGGAACGGATAATTCTAGAGTAGAAATCAGTAGAAACTGGCCTAGGTGTTTATAAGAGAGAGATGGAGGGTGTTGACTGAAGACAGAGTCAGGTGCTTTGATGAGTCAAAGACACAGCATCGTACGAGCCACACAGGTGAGGCTGTGGCAGGCCTGGCAGATCATGTAACAAGCTCACGAGGCTCTGCAGGGCATGGAAAAACCCCAAGGCTCTTAACTTGGTGTATTCAGTTAACATGGAGACTGTGCTCCCTCCACTCACTCTGAAAAGCGGGCTCTGTAGCTCGTGATACAAACAACATGTTAATTGTAACATGCCAACTAAACCTACCATCTCCTAAAAATGAGTTTCCAAGTATCACATTCAATAGACATACAATTTGTCCTTAGGTGCATGGTACCTTATAACAATGCTTTAGTTACATGTCATTTTATTATGAGGTCAGTTTGTGTGTCATTCTTTTCTTTTAAGGCAATCATGTTGAAAATTAATACACGACAATCTGACTGTAGACATAAAAGCACAGACTTAGCTGAGCTGCATACATAAAACAAACTGAAGTAAGTACTTCAGAAACCCAGCCTAACCTAACACTAATCCTAACCCTAACTCCATCTCTTTAACTACATCAGAACATAATTTTTGGTGGCAGTTAACATTACTGCATTTTTCCTTTGTTGACCCAAAGTTATTACCAGGAACCAATCATACTGGAGCAGAGATGACTCCATCTAATAGAAAACAACAGTACCACAGGAATACATTCATTACTGCACTGAACTTCTAAAAAGGAGGAGGCATCTTCTTTTTTCTAGTATGTCACTTTGCTTCTGCTGCTTAGTGAAGTAAAACAGTACATGTATTCATCTGAACTGTCTTATTTCTGTAGACATTCATAAGACTGGTACAGAAAATGGAGCCTACCTGGCAATATCTTCTCAGCGGTATAAAGTAAAACTGATTAAGAGAGGAACATTCTTCAAGTTCCTAGAAAAGGCTGTTAGCTTCTTCCATTTATGATCAAAAAGATCCTAGAAAAAAAATATGTCCAGTCCTTAGTGAGACGAGGAAATTGAAATAACCAAAATGGGATGTGATTGGTCTTCTGAATTGAGGTGCCACCATTACTTGCTTTTGCTGCTGAAGCATCGTCTGGCTCCTAATGGCTTCTAACATTGTGTTCCTACCTACATTGATCATTTAATACTAGCATCTTCTTTCTGACAAACCACAAACACTTCCAAAACTTGACCTCTTCCCTTTATCGCTTTTGATTAAGAAGAGAACTATCTGCAGGAAATGCCCTACAAACCACAAAGGATTATCAGAAATATAATGATGAGTGATTCAGGGACTCTGTGGCTCTGCTTGTGTTCCTATAATCTGATCGTGGTCACTCTTCCCTTCTCCGACGGAGCTTTGCTGTAGTTTCTTCTAGTCGGCTTCTCCAAGCAGCAATAATGGCATCATCATCCATCTCTTCTTCCTCTTCTTTACGCATGCTTCGCCTGTACTGAGAGAACTGTCTAGATGCAAATCTTTCTTCACTTTGTTCCACTTTCGCCTCCTTTTTTCCATCCTCTTCAGACTTTGAAAAGCTTTGGGTGAACTTTCTCTTAGCTCCAAATTCTGACATGTCTGACCTGGCCTCCTCTTCACACGCCTCCACATGATGAGATCTAACTCGACTCTGTGTAGATGGTTCAGAGGATTCAGAGTCAAAGGATGGTTCAGGTGTTCGGCTGAAAACATGCAGCTCTGGGCTCTTTTCTCTGGAACTCATGGTCTCACTGACCCTCGACCTTGTGAACTTATACATCTTTTTGTCCTCTTTTGCAGAGGCAGAGGAAAATCTTGACATGGTTCTCAGTGAATCTCCTTTTGACTCGTAGGAAGAACAGCTGTCTAGCTGTTCTCTCTGGGATCTGGAGAATCTGTAACTGGATGTTTCAGAATCCATCTCTGTTACTTTGGATGATCTGCTATATTTCTCTCTAGCCTTCTCACTTTGATCATAATATGATGGTGGTTCTCTTTCTGCTTTCAGGCCACTGAGCCACTTGGTAATATCAGTCTCTGGCTTTGGTGCACCTGTGTTTTCAGGTTGACTGGACAGATCAAAGGCTGTATCAGTTCTGTCAAGATTTGCTTGCAAGGGGTGCCTGTGGCTGTTTATTGTACTCTCTCTGTCATCTTCTGTTTCATTTGCCTCTCCTTTGGTCATCTTCTTTTTAAATAAAGTGCTGCGTTTATTGTCTCTGATCACCTTTTCGATTTGATAATCTGACATTTTCTCTCTCATTTCCATTTGCATCTCCTTCTCCTTCCTCCTGAGTTTCTTTAGGTCAATGCCATCAGCAAAGAGGCTGTACAGTGGCTTGCTTGTCTGTGTTGTCTTCATGTTTGAACTAGTCCCTTCTGTTCTTGCACTCACTGAGGTATTACAAGACAGGACAGACTGAGACTCAGCCCTGTGCATGTCCTGCTGGCGAAGCTGAGAGGCAGCAAGAGATGAGCCACTCTGAGCACTGAGAAGAGAAACCTTATCGTCATCTACATGCCTGCCAAGATCTCCTGACATTACGCTGGTGGCCATTGCAGATGATGGACGGGACAGCATCATGATCTCATTTTGCTTTTGAGCAATGGTTTCACTGACCACGTTAGCGATCCAGTTCTGAATGCTTGCCATGGATATTGTGTCACCTGGGCCAACTGGGAGATTGGGAAGGGGTATACTTGGCATCTGAGGCTGCATTGCCCCCATGCTGCTCCTGGTCTGTGATAAAGATGAATGATTTGTCTGCATGCTCAGTGAAGAAACTGCATCCTCGGTACCGTTTGCGGAAGAGGCTGAGGGCCAGAAGGCTGACAGTGGGATACTCCCACTCATTGTACTCTCTGTCTCCCAGCTGCACATGGACTGGCTTTCTTCTAAAATTTTCTTTGAACGTTCAAGGAGCTCTACACGCCTCTGCTTCTTTTTAGCTGAAGCAGAATCCTCACTTTTGGCAAACTCCACAAATTCCTCCTTGCTTTCACTGCCCACCTTCTTCTGCAGCTTCATTTTCCAAGCCTGGTAAGCAGACAGGTTAATATCCGACAAACTCTTACCTTCTGTCCCTTCTCCGCCTGCCTGGCTGCCATCTTCTGCTGGAGATGGTGCAGAAGATGATGATGATTCTAAATCCTTCTTGTGAAAGCCAAACTGGATCCTCTTGACCTTCCACCTTTCTAGAGGAGTCAACTTGTCTTTGTTCTTTTGGCAGAAATTGTAAAAGGAGCTACTGTCTGAAAACACACTCTCCTCATCCACATCCCTCTCCTTTCTTCCTGTTTCTGGGGATTGTCTCTCCCCACAATTTTTATTCTTAGAATGATACCTCTGAGCAGCTTCCTTCTCAATCTCCAGAAGCCTCTGGTTCCACATGTCCCAAGTGCTCTCTGAAGACACAGAGCCTGTGCGGCTCCTCCTCATCCCACTAAAGCTACTGGCTTCCAGCTGTTGTTTTAGGGTTCGAATCTCAAAACTGCTCACACTCTCAACATCACTGAATTCGCCTGATGAGTAAGGTCTTCCTCCCATGCTAGAATCTCCATACTCCTTCCTGGGTGGACCCTCCATTTGGTATCTTTCATTTCTGCGCTGCCAGTCATGGATCCTCTGTTCCACATCCTCCTCAGATTGTTCCCCTTCCTGATCTAGAAGCTTTGGAGATGTTCTTCTGTGGTTAACTCCTGGTTCCTTTGTAGGTAGGCCTTGTTTCTTCCTCCATTCCTCATACAACTGTTCCTCTTCCTCCTCATTGATGAGGGTGGAGTGTTTGGAAAGCCGGCTAGTCTTTCCCACTGATGAAGAGCTCATAAAACTACCCAGCAGGCTGCTGGTGTCCTCCTCTTCTACTGTGATGGAGTGGGCTTTGGCTCCCGTGATGCTTTCTGAGTCCCCAACTCCAGACAATCGGGAAGAAGTCCCTGTATGGACAACAGGACTTTGACTAGGAGTGACTTCTTCATCTCCAGTATGATCCAACTCTCGTTCCTCCAACAATTGCTCGTTGAGCTCCCTTAGCTGTTTCAGGAAGCCATCATTGGGGTAAATGGCACGCTTCTTTCTCAGAGTCATCAGAGCCTCCAGAATGGTCATATGGTGGTAGATCATCAGGTAGGCAGCCACCAGCACAGCTGAGCGACTGATTCCCATTTCACTGCTGACAAGGATTTTGCCTACAGATATTGAATATAAAAGTAATTAGCTATTTCCGATAACATAGAGAGGTTGCTCTGATACGTAGCACAAAAGCATTCTCTGAATAGTGTTAAAAATTAGACAGGTTATATGTTTCAGTGACTGAAACCAATACTAAATATTTGTTAGCTTTATCTTAATAAAAATCTAGATACATATGAATAAATAGTACATTAGTTTCAAAAGCTGTGGGCAGACACATTTTAAAACAATCTAAATAATATTTGTATTTTCACCTATACACTTCACTTCCCCAAATAATCAAAAAGCTTATAATAGCTATTAAAAAGACAAGACAAGTGATACAGTATTCTTGACTTACTGGCTGATTTCAGGTAAGACATTTAAGCTTTCCATGCTTCAGTTTTCCCATATGTAAAAAGGGAGATATTAGCATTAGCCTCCAGGAAGGTACTGGAGGATAAGAAAATAACTTATTTTTTATAAGGTACATTACAAGACTTAAATACAATTTTATATTCATTTAATTATATTTTTGCCAGAATCGAGATCTGCTGTTTTGCAAGGTACACTCAGTTACATGTAGACTGGCTGGAGGCCATAGTCATAGTATATCTCAGAACAGGAGAACCAAGCAACTAGCAGGAGAAAGCTGATTTTGACTCTGACAAACTGATACAGCTGCTTCAAACTACTGGGACTCACTGTTCTGTAAACAGTGACTGCAAGAGCTAGAATCAAAGCTGAGGATCTGCTGTATTTCATGGCATTTACACAGAAACCACCTCTTGCAGAAAAGTAAGCTTGGCACAGAAGAACTGGTTTTTAAAGTTACTTTTATGGCAAATTAAAGAAAAGCTTGTAAATATGAAGAGAGTCTAAGTGAGGCTTTGCTGGCTTGCAAACAACTGAAACTACTGCTTCTAAATGTGTGATAAACTCCAGTTTAATCAAACTGTTTGCACTGAAACTTAATGCAGCCAGTTTCAACACCACCTTTCTGACTTCTGATGTGTTACCACAAGTATTTACCTAAAGTATCTATTCCTACTATCCCAAAATGTCTTTTACACCTTTCTTATATCAAGAGTCTCAGTTGCCTTCCCAAGTGTTTTAACAGCCAGTAAAGCCTATCTAACAGCTCACCGAAAGGGGGAGATTTCATTC